AGTCTCTTTCCCCTCGGCTGCCTTGTATTCTAACCCAGAGCATTTCCGTGTGCCCCTCCTCTGACTCTGTGCTACCTGATGAGGATGTGTATTCCTGCTTAATGTAGAGCGTCACACCCCCGCCTTTCCTCCCTGTCCTGTCCCTCCTGTACAGCCTATAGCCCTTGATATTCACCGCCCAGTCATGCGTTGGGTCCTACCACGTTTCAGTGAGCCCCACTATGTCTGGGTTGGTGTCAGCTAGCAGGAGGGGAAGTTCCTCTTGCTTGTTTCCCATACTACGAACATTTGTGTAGAGGCATTTGAGGCCTCCTGTGGATGTGTGCACTGGCCCCTAATCACAGCATTGCCCTGGCCCCTGTTGCTTACCTGTGTATATGTTCCGCTCGTCGGTCTAGGCTGGGCTGTACTTGTGAGTGCTGCTTGGTTTAGATCAACTACCTCCAGGAGTCAATGGGGAAGTCAGTTTTCATGGCCCATTTAACCCCTGGTCTCTGCTGAAAGCAACAGAAAGGAGGGCATTTGGGGCTAACTGTGGTGGAAGTTTCATTCCCAGGATGCTGGACTCAGACTCAACTTTATTTCCCACTGAAGACAACTGCTCTTATTTAGCTCTTGTTAAATATGAGGTTCTTTTGGCTCCTTTTCACTCTGAGTTTAAGGCACTACAAAGTGGTTCAAGGATAATGCTGTATAAGATGTGCTTGTTCCCCTTGCTGGTTGCTGCTATTCCTCACTTGTAGACAACTGAAGCAAGCGAGATGATTTCCCCAGCTAAATTCTGTCATGCCCATTTCATACCTTCGCAAGCAGTCTGTGAGCGTGGTGGTGCCCGATACATGGCTCTCCCCATTCACCACACTGCCATCGCTCCCAGGACTCAGCGGCCAGAACGGAGTGGAGGAGCCTGGCAAATCCAAACTGATGTCCCAAAATGGGTCTATTGTTGTGGAAACACCACTGGAAAACAGTTGAACATTTAGCTGCCGGAGTTAAAAATAACTATCTCCAAAACGTGACCTCTTGTAGGGTGCAAACTACACGGTTACAAGAAAAAGCAATCAGTTCTACTTTGCCCCTAGAGGGCGCTCAGGTCACAGAAAGCACGTGCAACAAAACAGCATTTAATGTAGTATTTATACAGCCAATTCCTTTGCTGGAGATCTATTTAAAAATACATAAAAGGAGAACTATACATTTTAAGAAATTTATTGCACATATTGGATGCAGGATATAAATTTGGTACAGTTTACTACCTAATGGAACCCAGTGATTTAGGACCAACTGGCTGGGCTATTCAGAGATGCAAAATCTGGCCCTGTCACTGCCATGGCCTGTTCAGGCAAAAACACATCTTGATAACTGAATGTCTCCATACAAATAAACTAGTGTAGCAGTTCTTGGCCTGGGACACAGAACTTCGACTCTGTACTAGCTGTATCCAGACAAAAATCCTAGCTCTGCCACCGTGTGCCATGTGGAACTCATGCAAGGATCTACCATGGCATTTGGAAGCTGAGACCTTAGAGAGTAACAGAATCAAAAAATACACCATGCTCTTGTTCGTATTTTTCTAGGAGATGGCTCAAGATAAGCAAATAAGTGGAAGATGATGGGAGAAGTCCCTCAGAGCACGTGGCCCTCCTTAAGCATTCAGATTATGGCATGTTTGGCTCCAACCACTGAATTTTCCTTTTTGTTTCCTTCACTCTCCTTTACTAAAAATCTCCTTGAGTTAATAACCTTTCCTCCTTTCATTCAGCTTCACTGATACAAAATATTTGAAATTAAAAAAAAAGGGAATTTCTAATTCCACCTTAACTTTGTTAACGTTTCTTTTAATTTTGGCATAATACATTATTCCACTAGCAGCTCCCACAAGAACCTCACTATTATCATGTATGGACTCTGTGGTTCCTCAAGGAAAACATCTCCATTCAACACATTTTTCTATGATTCTCTATCATTTTTGTGGTGAAGCCTCTGCAGGCTTGTCCAGAAAATTAAATACAAAAACAGATTAAAATGAGCAGACTATAACCATCTATTTGCAGGACAGTGCAGGTAATTGTTGGGAATACTTGATCAGAACAACAAAAACAAAAATGTACCGGCACTCCTACTTCTATACCATAGTGATGTCCATTTGCTTGAAGCAAGTGCCCTTGCCCAATTGCATAGAACAGAAAACATTTTTCTCCTGACTCCTGTAAGCTTTTATTTCCTAGTACCTAAGTTTATGTAATACCAGCCTTCTGGAAACCTTCTGAGACTTGAGGCTTGAAACTTAAGAAAAATAATAACATGGATGAATACTGGAGTCGTTTTACTTCAAATCTGATGGCAGCTACATATTCTCCATCAAAAAACAATTGCTCATGGAGCTCTCCTCTTCTGACTTCTGAAATGAACATTTGGCAGGCCAATAAAACACTAACCTAATTGGTAGAAACCCATAATCTTTTTGGTACTTTTCCAAGTAGATTTTTCACTGTGCCTTGATCTACACTTGCCTTTGAATTGCTTACATTTAGCTGACACTGTATGCGAACAGTTCTGGTCCTACTGGAATCCTGCTGATATTTTATTGATGGGATAAGAAGGAAAGTCTGTCTGCTCCTGCGTTGGCAAATTAACCCCTCTGTGTCTGAATACAGAAATAATAACATTAAACTCACTGGCAGACTTGACACGTGACATCAGACTGCAGTCCGCCTGTGAAGATTTGGTCTATGATGCAGTTACAGTGGTTGGGGTTGTTGGCCTTCTTTCCATTATCATCACCTGAAGGAAAGCAAAAGAAAAGGCTCAAAAAGCTAAAAACCCTCAGATGAGCTGTGGTTTGCCTGGAGCCGTGCATTCAACATCTTACGTGTATACCACAGGTTTGGAGTCTCACAGATGCTCTTTATGTAAGAAACCCAGGAAAGAAACAAACCAACCAAACCAACAAAACAGAAAAGCCCTTTCAGAATATAAAATATCCAAAAGGTATTAAATGCACTTGACTGTTTCAACAGGAATGGGGCTCCAAAGCTGGGTGAATAGCCAGCCAATCTTCTTTACCTTGAAACAGGCCAGTCTTGCTTGTCGGAAGATTTGCCCCCCTCTGTCTGGTGTGAGGACTGGCTCCCAAGCTGGTGTTGTTGCCAAGGTGGTTAATGAAAATGACTATTTAAATTTCAAGAACAGGGCCACCGAGTGACATTTGTAGTTAAATTAATGGCCAGCCCTTAGTGGAGAAGCAGTGATTTCCACTTAGGACACACAATTGCATGTTATTTTCTTGCATGAATTTAAAGGACAGGCTTCCGGAGACGACGGCAACAGCCATTTCTAACGGTGCTTCCTTAATCAGTTTCACAGAGAAAAGGACTAAGGTTGCGTGAAGGCTCCATTAACCTTTGCCCGGCGTCCGGCCCCTATCCTTTCAGCCTGCACACGGCCCTGCTGCTCTGAAGTTTTATCAGTAAGAGAATGAGGTAGCTTAGCCCCCCCCCCCCCCCCCCCCCCC